TGGAAATCCTTTTAAGCTCACTCTCCAATCTTGCTGTGTGAGCGCACAGCAGGGCTAGCGCTTCGACCCAGTCATTTGACAGATTCAGCGAACAGTCAGGCGAGCATCAGCAGCATCAGCTGGAAATCCTTTTAAGCTCACTCCCCCATCTCTGCCGTGTGAACCCACAGCAGGGCTAGCGCTTCGACCCAGTCATTTGACAGATTTAGCGCAAAGCCGGGCGAGCATCAGCAGCATCAGCTGGAAAACCTTTTCGGCTCACTCTCCCAGAACCCACGGCAGGGCTGGCGCTTCGACCAGTCATTCCACAGATTCAGCGAACAGCCAGGCGAGCGTCAGCAGCATCAGCTGGAAATCCTTTTGAGCTCACTCTCCCATCTCTGCCGTGTGAACCGACAGCAGGGCTAGCGCTTCGACCCAGTCATTTGACAGATTCAGCGAAAAGCCGCGCGAGCATCAGCAGCATCAGCTGGAAATCCCTTTAAGCTCACTCTCCCATCTCCACCGTGTGAACCCACAGGAAGCAACCAGAATGGCATTTCGGCATCATAGTGGGACACATGGAGAAAGAGCCCCGATCATCAGAACTGCAGCAACACTAGTAGCAACGCCAGCGGTACAATTCGAACTTCTGAAGTCTCCTTCTGTCGTCTCGGAGGTCTACGTCATCGACTCCTCCGACCGGCGCCGCCTAGAGGAGAGCAGCGCCGAGCTGCGGGAGCTCCTGGCAGAGGACAAGCTCGGGGGAACGCCCATGCCAGGGGCTCAAAAGATCTCAACAGACTCACAAGGAGTGCCATACGGGCGATGAGCAGACCGACAACTGTTGTTTTGATATGCTATACAGATCTTGTGACTACGATGAGCGTTGTGGGCACGAAAGGTAGGGATCAGATCAGGAGCAGGGTTGTAGCGGCTTCCAGCCGCGACGACACTCGCATCGGCGAGCTCGCCCCTTGGGATCCTTCGATCCATACCCGCCCTTCTCCCATTCGGGGAGAGACCCGGTGCGGAGGGGCCGCAGCAGGGCAAGTGTTGAGATCGGACACCTCCGAGCTGCGCGCGCATCTCGCCTATCTCTCGCCCTATTCCTGACTCTGAGGACTCTCTCCTTCCTGTTTCTTCGTGGATTTTCCTTGTGTTTCCGGTATCGAGCACTGAGGCTGGTCTACGCGAACAAGCAGGAGCAAAAAGGGTGGCACCCGACATGCCTCTGCGCATGTGCTCGCTTTGAAGGATCTGCTACAAGCGTCGCCCGCAGACGAGATCGCAGACGTCATGGGGCTGGCAGGCATCACTGACCGAGTGCAACTTGGCCGCGAACAATCGGCCGCCGACGGAATGTGCTGGCTGCACCTCCACTTTGAGGTGGACTATCCAAGCATGCAGCGCCAAAACGGGTGAAGGTCTGCAGGCGGCTTGGTTGTGTCTTGGTGCACACTTGGTCCGGTGCCATTCGTGCCCGCAGGAAGGCATGGAGTGGCTCATCGGAAACTGTCAGAAGTAGCCGAAGTGGAAGGCGCAACATGCGCTCTTTCCCCAGCGGATGTTTCACGCGGGTTTCTCCGGACTTCGCGTGCCGAAGCATGCGGTTGACAGGAGCAAAGCTGCTAGAGTGTAGGCTCCATCAGCTGCCGTCTCACACTAAGATCACCTGACTCGCCGGAAGCATTGGCAAGGAAAGGGCAGTTTTCTGCACATGCTTGCGAGGCTCGGTTGTGACTTCTGCTGTCTGCAGCGCTTCCGGGCCGACAGGACCATTGAACTTATCCAGACATCGGTATGTGAGGGACAGCAGCAGCAAGCAGCGCGAGAAGAGCACAAGAACAGCACAAGCAGAGCACCGAGCCACAACCATGGTGAGAGATGGGTACTCGGCTCGAAGAGACGCCCGGAACTCAGATTCGCGCTTCAGTGCTCTTGGTGGCAAGCCGTCCACCTGGGGAATGCCCCAGCACGAGCCCACGTCTTCGCAGCCGTGTGCAGTGCACTTCCCTTGCAAAGCCTAAGAGATCAGGGCCCACCACGGCCGGGCCGGAAGGCGGGTGATGGCGGCTTTGAGAGCTGCGGCCCAGTGTCGGGACGGTCCCAACGCAGGACGAGCAGCCGCCGAGCATTGGTCGGCAGCCCAGCGGCCCACGCGTGTTACGCGCCTCCACCGTGGGCTCAGGTGCGACCCCTGCGCTGGAGGCCTTCCGTGCCGCAGCCCTCGGCCCTGCAGCACAGCCCTCGAGCGGAGAAGGCGAGAAGAGCACCAGGAGTCAGGGAGAGGAGCAGAGGAGAGTCAGGAGATCCGTGCTACTTACGCATGAGTACACTTCACTCAGAAGAAAAGCAGGGAATCCCAACAGGTCCGTTGGGAGGAAGCATGTCGACGTCCATCCTATCTTGCCAGATCGCCGGCTGACCTCCCTGGAGATGTACACCCAGAATCAGGCATGGTCTGATGTCCACACAAGGCATGCCGTTGTGTGTTCCCTGACCGTGCCAGCTTTCGAACAGAGCCAGTCGGCAAGACGGAGCATCTGTGTATCAGAGTGTTTTAAAACGGACATTCCTAGAATCTTAGACCGATCTGCCACCCACATGTTGCAGTCAGCAGAGTAGACAGGGTCCTGGCATAGCTGCAATGCGTGCTGCAAGCCGATGGGTTGTGCAGCGACCTTTGTTTCGCCGACCCTTCTCATCACACTACGGCCACTATGGGCTGTGGGTGAACGGAGAATATGTTGAGGCTGCTGGAGGGCGACGGTGCTCGGTTTTGAACCCAGCGACGGGCGAGGAGGTGGCCACCTTCGCGTCTGCGGGCGCTGCAGACGTCGACAGGGCCATCTCGGAAGCCTTCAAGGCCTTCGAAGCGGGAGACTGGAGCGAGCGTCTCTCGCCCCGGGACAGATGTCGGGTCCTCTCGAAAGCCGCGGAGCTCCTTCGTCAAAGTTTGAAGGACTTGGCGGAGTTGGAAACACTACAGACAGGGCGCTGCCTCCGGGAGTACCATGCGCAGCTGGGAAGGGTCCCCGAGTGGTTCGAGTACCACGGCGCCTATGCCGCGACTAAGGGCTTCGAGGGCCGACTCCCGGCTATCGACCGCGACCATGTGAACTTGGTCTGGAGGGTACCTTTGGGCGTCTGTGGTTTGATTACCCCCTGGCAGCCCGGCCTCTACTAATCAGAGAGAGAGAGAGAGAGAGGGAGAGTCGAGGACAGGGGAGGAGTTGCCCGACTGCAGAGTCGAGGACAGGGGAGGAGTTGCCCGACTGCAGCTATTTAAGCTCAGTGTGATGTCGTCGTCCCCCTTTGCACTTAGTCTCGACATGCCAGATGCGTCTGTGCTTGGGTCTGCTGGAGGAGGAATGGGGAGTCCTCCTTCCGAGACACAGGTACTCAGCGAGATGACAATCAAGACAGTGCAGGATATATCCAGGGGACAAGGTAACGTGAGCGTTTTGCATCATCTACAGTCCCTAGCCAAGGCTCGTACAGAA